ACATATTAATAAGGAACTCGAAATATAATTTTGAGATAAGGTTTGGGAGATCAATAATAAATTTTTAGTGGACTAAATTATTATTAATAGACTGTGAGATGTTTGTTCTGAGTTGAACACATGAATCCTAGGCCCATTAGAATTTCAACCCTTATTTCTCCTTAGGATTTATGTCGTAGTCTATATATAGACGTCTAGGCTCTCTAAATCAACATCATCTTGATTATTCACGTTTTGAGGGAGGTTGAGACAGATAGCAAAAGTTTAGAGATTTTTGCAGCCCACACTGCAACTGGACTTTGGCTTTGGGGGATATATGACAGAAGATTGTAAGGTTCATCGAACTGTTTTCTGTGTCTGTCTTTAGATTCTATGTTCGTGCTGAGACGAGATCAATCTAAAGCAATCTCGAATGAAAACCCTAATTCTGTTTTGTATGGTTTTGAAGGAATTTTTTTTTTTTTTTGTATTTGATACACATTGTCAATGATTCTTGAGATTTTCGTTTCAACATTCACGCGCATCACTAGTAGATTGATTTTTCTAAGACGATGGGCTTGATTTGGGTTGGGCTGCACCTGTGACCTAGGCCTAGTCTATATTTCTAAATTGGACCTCTAAGTTGGGCCTGGTCTATAATTTTAGACTAGGCCTAGTCCAGGATGGACCCGTTATTTGCCCCTATGCCTCAAGCCTAATGGGATTTGGGGGACAGGACATCAGTAAGAAAACTTGCCCTTGTCCTCTTTTAGCAAGTGAGCTTTGATGGGGGAGAGGTAGTCACGATAAGGCTGTGCAGGAGGAGTTATGGGTGGTTCACGAGAAAGCAGCACCTTTTGAGATCGAGTTTTTGGAGACTGAGGCAACTTATATGAGAGTAGGGTAGAGGTAGACCGAGCTTCTAGTGACTTGCAAGAGACCTGCTAAGTTGGAGACTGAGGCTACTTGCATGAGAGCAGATGTGGAGTTAGGCCAAACTTTTGGCAACTCACGAGATTGTCACCAAGCACGAGATTGAGGCTGCTTGCATGTAAGCAGATGCAGAGTTCGAACAAACTTCTGGCAACTCGTGAAAGAGCCACTAGCTAAGATGGAAACTAAGGTTACTTACAGTTAAGTAAAGGTAGAGTTAGACCAAACTTCTGGCGACTAGTGAGAAAGTCACTAACCTAGAGACTGATGTTGTTTGTGTGAGGCAGAATTAGGCAGAGCTTTCGACAATTCGCGAGAGAGTCGTTAAGCTGAAAATTGAGACTGCTTGCGTGTGAGTAAAGTTAAAGTTAGACTGAGCTTTTGAAGACTTGGGAGGTTCTCTCCTAAGAGATGGAGAGGAGGAGGGAGATGACTATGAGGGTAATCAGAGGGCGCCAGTGGGATAGAGATTGCGAAACATGGGTGCAAGAGGTGAGGGAGCCTAATTTGCCAAAAAGGGTGACGCTGGACACCATGGGCGCTACTAGTTGGGGGCGGCGAGGCATGTGGACGCACAGGCAATAGGCGTGCTGTTGGCACTGGGCGCCTGTTTGGCCGTTGGTGTTGGCGTAGGTGGAGTATTAGAAAAGCATGAAGAAGTGACAAAACTATGAACGATTATAACTTTGCACTCGGTTGTCCGTTTGAGGTGATTTTTTTTTTTGAATATGAGTATTTTTTTTGAGATCTACCAAAATTAAACTAGTTTGGGAACCGAATTTCCCTAAAAAAATATTTATTTTTTCACTGAATTTGAATTTCAACTATAAATTAGTGAATAAGTAGAATTTTCATGTGCCATGTTCCATTTGTGGGAAAAGACAATCTTCATTCTGAATGTAATACTATTTCTAGTATCATCATATGCTAAAATTGCTAGGATTGTTATTCTTCTCTACACGAGGACTCAGCTTGCTTAGTTTTGGCTACATCCTCAATGTTCATGTATTTTTTAGGCTTTTGATAATAATTTTAGCGTGTTCTTTAACGGGTGCTTCAAAACTAAAAACATAAGACTGGTTTAACATAGGCGTTCTGCGAAGGCCACTATAGTGACTTTGTCATCAGGATCTTTAATNCAGGTGCTTCAAAACTAAAAACATAAGACTGGTTTAACATAGGCGTTTTGTGAAGGCCACTATAGTGACTTTGTCATCAGGATCTTTAATCTGGAGGACCTCCTCATTAAAATGAGTGAGGTAACCTCTTAGATTTTCATCTCGTTCCTACTTAATGTTGAGCAGGTGGGTGGCAGGTTTCTAGTGTCGGTGTCTCTCAATTAAGTGTGAGACAAATGACTTGCTTAGTTCGGCGAAAGAGTTAATGGAAGTTGAGGTAAGCTTGGCGAACCACTAGCAAGTCGATCCCTTAAGGGTGGTAGGGAAAGCCTTACACATGATCTCTAGTAGTATGATGTGCAGCTAAATTAGGGATTTATAGGTGGCAATGTGGTTCAGTGGATCTTTTGAGCCATAAAAAGTTTTTACTATTGGCATCCTGAACTTTGGGGGGGGGGGGAAGAGGGTAGTTGGCCATATCAGCAACAAAGGGCGTGTCAATACGCCTCACAAGGTACTCGATTGTTTCAGGTCCTCGTGCCATCATAGATTTGAAGACGTCATCGAGTTGGTTCTGCACTCCTTTGATTTTTTCATCCTAGTGTTTGGGAACGCCTTTCAAATGGTCATTATAGTGGCTCTTATGGCCCATGTACTGGTTTTTACCCTCGTTTTCTTGGATAGGAGGATCACTAGCATGAAAAGACAAAGCCGACATGTGAGGAGGGGTGCTTGGGCACTGAGGAGCGATACCCTGGTGCTACAAGTGGGCGCCTTGGTGCTGGACGCCTTGTTGGGGGGTGCCTGGGGTGCTTCCCCTTCTAGGAGATGGGGCACGACTCTTTTAGGGTACCCGATGAGCATCAACTGGAGGATTTGCTGGTTTTGATTCACCAAAAGCTTCATTATCTCTAGTAGTTGTTGTTTGGCTACAAGGTTTACCGTAGCTACGGGATTTGCTGGCAGGGGTGGGGCCTCGTCACAATGTGGTGGATTATTGTCTTCCTCTTGTTGATTCTTGGATCTAGTTGTAATAACCATAAAAAGGAAAGAAAGTAGGAAGAAATAGAAAGACAGTATGGTGAAAACTTAGTCGTTCCCACAAAAGGTGCAAAATTGATTATGCACAAAAATAAGTTTATGCAAAATCAATCAATGGATGAAGTAAGAAGGGCACAACACATGTAAACACAAAGATTGGGTGGGTTCGGTCTAGGTGACCTACTTCATCGGAAAGGGCTACAGTGACTAGAGAATCTTATTGCTCAAGAGTGTACTGTACTGATATGTGTGTGATGCCTCCCATGTGTAGGTGAGACTTATAATTTATAAGGGAGTATAGTCTTTATGACGCCNCAATGTGGTGGATTATTGTCTTCCTCTTGTTGATTCTTGGATCTAGTTGTAATAACCATAAAAAGGAAAGAAAGTAGGAAGAAATAGAAAGACAGTATGGTGAAAACTTAGTCGTTCCCACAAAAGGTGCAAAATTGATTATGCACAAAAATAAGTTTATGCAAAATCAATCAATGGATGAAGTAAGAAGGGCACAACACATGTAAACACAAAGATTGGGTGGGTTCGGTCTAGGTGACCTACTTCATCGGAAAGGGCTACAGTGACTAGAGAATCTTATTGCTCAAGAGTGTACTGTACTGATATGTGTGTGATGCCTCCCATGTGTAGGTGAGACTTATAATTTATAAGGGAGTATAGTCTTTATGACGCCGCAAAACGGGCTTTGATCGAGGTGCCATCGCAGGGAGCCTTAATTAAAGGTGTCACTCTTGTGACANTATAATTTATAAGGGAGTATAGTCTTTATGACGCCGCAAAACGGGCTTTGATTGAGGTGCCATCGCAGGGAGCCTTAATTAAAGGTGTCACTCTTGTGACAGGAATGTGTGGCTCCGTGATATTGGCGTAACAGATGAGGTGGTTGATGCTTACGATGTGTATCCTGGTTCCCTTTTTAAGATAGAGATATCATGTGTGTCACTAATAGATTGAGTTTTTCAAGATGATAGACTTGGTCTGGGTTGGGCTGCAACTGTGACCTGGGCTTGGTCTGTATTTTTAAACTAGGCCTTTGAGCTGAGCTTGGTTTATAATTCTAGACTGAGCTTGATCTAGGCTGGACACTTCATTTATTGACATTTACTACTTTTGTAGATATTTTTATCACTATTGTGGGTGTTTTTTTACCACTATTATGGTACCGAAGAAAAATGATAAAAATAATTAGCACAATAATAATAAAAATACTCACAAAAATAATAAATCACCTAAGAAAATTGATATTTTTTTTGTATTAAAGAAAATGATAAAAATAGTTACCATTGAAATTTGTGCTTGTAGAAATTATCAAGTAATCGGATACAAAAAAAAAAGACTCGAAATTTTGTACATGCTCAATATCATTTGATTGAATAGTTGTCCCAACGCCTTATTGTTTGAAGAAACCCTCTACTTCAATTGATATTTTTTTCATGAAAAACAGACATGGTATAACAAATTTAGTATTTCGCTAAGATTTTAAATAGCGGTCTTGAATTCAAGCCGACTATATTTCGTCTTTGAGACGCTGACAAAAGTATTAAAAACACACGAAAATAGCATATTACCCACCAAAGTGATAAAAAAAAATTTGTTATACAAATATCCATAAAAATAATAAATTTTAGAGGTTGGATACCAAATTTTTTTTATTTAGTACCCTAGTTAACTACATTAGAAGAGAGGAAGTTCAACATATTCTTTCCAAATTTATTTAAAGCAAATTATAGTGAAAATGCTGTGAGCCTCTCACCATAACATGATGCAACAAATTCCTACCTGTCAAAGCCCATGACAATCCCACCTTTTAAATTCTCCTAAAATCTCACTTACTCTTGCCCACGTACAATTCATGAATTAACCATCCCTATAAAACCACATATTAATCTATTCATGTCCTTTCGTGTATCGATCATGGCAACTAGTAATTTAATTTCGGCGCCGGAAAAACATATTTTTCGAAGCCGATATCCATCGGTTCCTGTGCCAGACAACATAACGTTGCCGGACTTTGTGCTTCAAGACTCTGAGTTTTACGCGGAAAAGGTGGCGTTTGTGGACGCTGTCACCGGAAAAGAGTATACTTACGGCCAAGTGACTAGAGATATTAGAAGGTTCGCTAAGGCGTTGAGGTCTCTTGGTTTGAGGAAGGGAAGAGTGGTGGTGGCTGTACTCCCAAATTTAGCAGAATATGCCATTGTTGCTCTAGGAATAATGACTGCCGGCGGAGTATTTTCCGGTGCAAATCCATCGTTGCATGCATCGGAAATAAAGAAGCAAGTGGAGGCTGCTGATGCCACACTTATTGTCACTGATGTACCAACTTATGAGAAGGTACTGGTTTAACGTCGATGTTAGAATTTTCGACAACTTTTGAGTAGTCAATACTCAATAGGCCTCGTGTTGTGTAGTGTGGTCTTTTCAGAATTTGATCATTTCACAGTGAAACCATGACTCAATTTGGTGGTGTTTTGCATGGATAATATTATTTCAGGGTTAATCTCAGATTTTTTTTGGGGTTATAGTTTGCTATAATTTACTCCCCTCCCCCCCCTTTCGGTGGTAATTTTCACTAGGTTATCTTCACTAAAGTTGCGCTGTGTTGGGAACTACAGGTTCAAGGTCTGGGACTACCGGTCATTGTACTGGGCGAAGAACGCATTGATGGCACAATACTTTGGGATGAATTGCTCGAAGCCGCAGACAAAGCCAGCACCTGCAATATTATCACAGAAACCCTCCACCAGACTGATCTATGTGCCCTTCCATTCTCATCTGGCACTACAGGACTCTCAAAGGGTGTAATGCTGACCCATCGCAACCTAGTAGCCAATCTCTGCTCCACACTCTTCAGTGTGGGACCAGAACTGGTGGGCCAGGTCACCACACTGGGTCTAATCCCATTCTTCCATATATACGGGCTCACTGGAATTTGCTGTGCCACTCTCAGAAACAAAGGGAAAGTAGTGGTGATGGAGAGGTATGAGCTTCGGGCGTTTCTGAATGCACTGATTGAGCATGAGGTCACATTTGCGCCCATTGTGCCGCCAATTATTTTGGGGTTGGTGAAGAATCCTATAGTGGATGAGTTTGATCTGGGTAAGCTAAATCTCAGGTCCATCATGACTGCAGCCGCTCCCCTTGCCCCAGAGATTCTCAGTGAATTCGAAAAGAAGTTCCCTGGTGTCGAGGTCCAAGAGGTGAGGGAGTCATTCCATACGTCTTCAATTCAAATGTAGATATATAATTATTATGATCTCATCCAAAGTATAAATGTATATGTTGAAATTAACTTATTATTTGATCGAATTTAGTTAAATTTAGATGTAATTTAGTAAAATTGATTGCTAGTTCGGTTAATTGCATTAAGTTGGATAATCAGAGTGAAATTGAGTAAACGTGTAATGGATTGGATCTCAATTCAATCCAGTCAACTAATAATCTCTAGTACTTGGTTTTTCATTGCTAGGCATATGGAATGACAGAGCACAGCTGCATTACCCTTACGCATGGGGACCCGAATAAAGACCATGGCATTGCAAAGAAACACTCAGTTGGGTTCATTCTTCCCAATTTGGAAGTGAAATTCATCGATCCAGACACGGCTCAGTCGCTCCCCAAGAACACCCCGGGTGAGATCTATGTCAGAAGCCAATGTGTGATGCGAGGTACCAAGGACATTGCAACCATTTGAGAAATGGATGGTTAATATTTCTCTGCTACTAGAAATAAGTTTTTAAGGCTTTTTCTCATTGCCTTGTGCCACCTGACCATTGTAGGTTACTACAAAAATGAATATGAGACTGCCCTCACCATTGATGAAAATGGGTGGCTTCGCACTGGTGACATTGGTTACATTGATGATGATGGAGATGTTTTTCTAGTGGATCGCATCAAAGAATTAATCAAGGTCAAAGGATTTCAAGTAAGAAATGGTGCCATTACAGGTTCATATCATCCCCTACATGAAAATATATATAAATCTCAATGCAAAGAGACTGCATTGAGTTTCAAAAAAATCCAGACAAGATAATGATAATTTATTGATCTTATACTGGAAGTTTAACATACTTAAATTCTATGGTTTTTAAATATTTTGGCCCATTTTTAATAATGTGTCATGTATTTCTTTGATTTCGGAACTTTAATCTCTTCTATAGCAAGCAAATAATTATTCCAAATGTCGTCAAATTGATTCACAGGTTGCTCCTGCTGAATTAGAGGGCATCCTTTTGAGTCATCCTTCGGTTGAAGATGCTGCTGTCGTGGGGTGAATATATCATCAAGCAACCTCATTTTTGTTGCTCTTGTGACTGACTAACAGAAGCCATTAATGGAGCTTAGAAGGCAAAATGTAACTCAGAATGCTCCTATTTTGCAGGCTGCCTGATGAAACATCTGGGGAGATACCAGCTGCATGCGTGGTGATGAACTCAAACGCGGAAGAGAATCAACAGGAGATTATGGACTTCATTGCATCAAATGTAGCGCATTATAAGCGAGTTAAAGTGCTGCAATTTGTGGACAGAATTCCCAAATCGCCGTCTGGAAAGATAATGAGAAGGCTCATCAAAGAACAAATGCTTGAAAATATGAACGCCAACTCCAAAGCCTCTGCAATAAGAAGGCTTTGACAATGATACTATCTTCAATGACTTGAGGATGGATTACTTTTACCAGATCTATATTTATATCAATTAATCTTTTCCTCAATCTTTCCTTCTAGAATTTTGTTTGAATACTTGATTTACAATCCCACGAGGAAATAAATACACAATTTATGCCAATCTATATTCTTCTGAGGTATAAGAGATTGTGATGTATCCTGTGTTTGGGGGTTTAATCTTACTCACCCCCGTAAGGATGGAGCCAGAATCCCATACCAGAGGGGGCAAAATGTTAATGGAAAAATTTTGAGTTTCAAATATAAAGATTCAAGATTAAATTATAAAATGAAAAATAAAATCGATACCATTCAACCTCAACAAAATATGGACAAAAAAAATATGAAATAATATTTATTTTTGTATTATTCAACTCAGTCATAGTCAAGTAAGATATAACGTTCTTTTAAATCTCAAAAATTATTTATACTTGGTTAATTCTACGTTTAATCTATCTTTAATCCATCATTTATTTTATAAGCTTAGTTGAGATCATCTCATCTTTTTGAGGAATTAATTCATTGGAAGAGTCAAAAATATTTTTGGGTCAATACAAATTACAATTTACATCTAATTGTGATACTAGATATGTGCTCTTACATTATTCAAAACCCATAGAGGTCAAATATGTAATTATTTCTAAAAAATCATGATAATGTATTAAATTCATTTATACACAATTTAGAAAATTAAAACATTTGTTTTACTAGGTTAGTGGGTAGTAGTAGGTTACTACTAGTTAAAAAATATATATAATTATACAATTATTTTAAAAGTTAAGGGGGGACAATGTATCATTTTACAAGTATAATTAATTACTTTTTGACATAGACCCTTTAAGGAAGTCTCCTAAAATATTGATATTTGGATTTTGACCCCGTAGCTTTTTGAATGAGCCCTATCTTGCTGGAGGCAGATTTTCTAAAAGAAAAGTAGTTGTTTACTCGGATTGGTTCTCATGCCCCTTTAATTCAACCTGTTCCACCCACCCCTTAGGTGTTTTTTTTTAGGTTCCACTCCCGGCGGTTACAGATATATAATAAGAGGAATGTTATTGAGATCTAATTTACTTACATAATTTGTTGACTTAATTCACTGTGATCTTTGGACTGACGACAAGTTCTATAAAATATTAGAATTTGGTTCTGATCCAATAATTCATATACAGCCACATCATTATGTCAACAAATTAAGTCAAATTTTTAGGTTCAAATAACATTATTCATGTAATAATAAGTTATAAACCTGGGATTACATCTTAAATAGAAGGCAAAGGTGTGCTAATAAGTAATAAGCTCTTGTGGATAATCATTATTTATTCACTTAAGAATTACCAAGTTCATATTATAGATATAAATTCGACATTGATGCATTATTATATTGTCTCCTCATTGCCACATTTAAAAATAATAGCAATGATTAACTAAGGGAACTTATGAGTTTTAATATTAGATACAATTTAATTGTAATTTATTATATTTTCAAGTTAAATTCTCAAACCAAGTACAATTAGCTTTTTATATGAAAAAAAATTAAGGTGTTTGTAATTATGGTTGATAATCGAGTCGAGGTAGTTGAGTTTGGGTTGTTTTGGGTTCTGTTCGAGCTCGACTTGTTTTTCAAATGAGTCGAGTTTGAACAACTTTTTAGGTTTTTTTCTTGTAAAGTTCGACTTATTTATATGTAAAATAATCAAATTGTTTGGGTACAGCTCATTGAAATAATTTTTTAGATTTGTTTAAAAAAACGAGTTCGACAGACTCAATTTGAACTAACAAAACACGGTTTGATTATCAATCATATTTTTAGGTGGCCGAGCTGCACAAATTAAAAAAAAGATATGTCGTCCTCTATGAATTGGGACACATTATAATAGACGTAAAAATAATGGAAACAATATACTTTTTTATTAATTATGTATGGAACACAAAAAAACTAATTTCAAGTTTTAGGGGGTAAAATGCCATTTGCAACCCCCTCCCCGACCAAAATAAAACCCCAATGCAACACCGAATTTCTAACCACCAAACTCTTTAATCATACAATTTTGTTATAATCGTTAGATTAACACCAAATTTTAAAAAATTGAAACTCTTTAATTATTTTATACGAAGGAGGAACCCCTTCTCCAAAAATAAATAAATAAATAAAAGTAGTTAGAAAGCCTTTGAAGATCCTATTGACTGGATTGTAATTAGGGAAAAAAAAAAAACGACACAAGTTCCTTTTGAATTCTTGTCTTGATTTATGTTGGCAGGTGCAAATGTGTGGTTGTAGCTGAAAACTCTTCAGAAGAAGAATGCAACAGAGAACTCCAAGCAGTCGTCTCAAAAAAAGTCTTATCTTACTTGAGATTTTTTTTTAAATAAGGGGAATTTTAATTCTGTTGATCTTTCTTTATTGTTTCACTACTCAGAACATATATTTTTTTATATATTGCAATTGAAATTGATGATGCACAAATCTGATTGTGCACAATCAATAAGTGGAGTGTATAAAGTAAAGTAATTAATAAGACAATCAATAATAAAGGACAAAGATTGGGTGGTTGGGTCGAGTTGACCTAACCACTGAAGGTCGCACAGATGATCGGAGAAATTTATTAATGAGAGGCTATGAGGTGGTAAGAGAGAGAGAGAGAGAGAGAGAGAGAGAGAGTAAGCTCAATGTGTGGTGTGTGTGATATCTCCTTTGTTTTAAGGGTTTTACAATTTATAGACACAAAGTTCTAGTTGAGCTAGTGATGTGAAAGTCAGACTACTAGTCTTATGGGGAGGGTAGCTATAATTGGAGATATACATTATCTTAGAGTCATGGCTATCTCGACGGTTGTTTTTCCACGTGCGCTGACCTTTTCTGAACTCTTGAGATATGTGTTAGACCTAAGACATAAACTAGGCCTGAGCTTTTTCGATGATTCGAGCTTAACCCATCATTTGGGCTTACGCCCAACTGGATCTGCGTTTGTCATTTGCCTCCCATGCCCCAAGCCCTTGTGGTGACTAGAGGTTGAGAGCATGAGTGAGCTCTTTTTTTAGGCAAATCAGGTATCCTATGCCATACGGTAGTTTCTTCAAATTTCCATCTCTAGATGAAACTTTTTTCCTCATTTGGTAACACCATGGTTGGACAACCATTACACTAGCACCCAACCTCATCTATTGGGTCTTCCATTAGATCTAACAACCAAAACCACTCTTTTCATTTTGGGCATCATCCTTAGGGCCTCATTGATCAGTATATATAAAGGAAAGAACTATTTATTTTTCCATCTTTTTTCATTACTCCCCTTCTTTCTAGATTGGGCTAAATAAACCTTCCTATCCCCATTCTCATAGATTGTAGGGAGCTTCACAAAGAAAGTGGAGATGGAGATCAGAGGGAGTTTGACGACGACAAGCAAAGCAACCATAACGGGGTCACAAGCGAAATCAGGCGTTGGCGATACCTCGGCAAGGTCTGGAAAAGACTAAACCATGGCGAAGCCAAGGGCAACACCAATCATCAAGGGCGAAACCAAGCACCAATGGGGCATTGCCAATAAAGGAAAGACAAGTGACCACGCAGGTGTAGCGAGCTACTAGGCAACGCCAATATAGGCGGAGAAGGCGACACCCAAGGTGCTAGTAGAGGCAGTGGTGGTGCAGCCCTAGGCGCAGGCGGCACCAGGCGCGATAGACGACAGGTTGGGTGATGATGGGCGTAGTAGCACAAGTGCTGGAGCAGGGAGGCTGGGTGCAGGTGCAGGGGCATCGGCCGCTGGTGTGGCTAGCACAGGTGTTGGGGCATTGTCCACTATAATTGGTGTTGGAGTTGACAGGCTGGACTTCGAGCAGCTATCGGGCGTCAGAGAATAACGAGTTAACGCTTTTCGACTAGGTAAGATGATTAGGCTCGCCCTTCACTTTCCTCGTTATTGTTGGCACCCTTCTTTTCTTCTTACATTAGCTCTAATTTTTTCAGGTGCTCGATTTAGTGTAGGGGTACGATGACAGATACTACACAAGCTTTGCAGTGAGGCAAATGAGTTGTTGAAAGTGATGGGTCGAAGATAACCTCAATTTTCAGCTCCATAGATTGTGATAATGACATCAGTAGCATTGTATCTTTATTCCGTATCCCTCCTGCTGTTCTGTGTCGTCGGGTCGAGAAGGATGAGCCGGCGTGTTATAAATCCTCTAGGGAGATTATTTTCTATGAGGATATCTTGGAGCTAGGATTGAGGTTTCTCATCCTTAAACCCATTTGCCAGATTATAGTCATTTGTCGCTTGCTTCAGGGAGGTTGACTCCAAATGGTTGGAGGGTTCTTTTGGCATTCTTTTCATTATGGTGGTTGGTTCATGGTGAGGATGTTTCTCCCCTTTTTGAGGAGTTCTTGGTACCGTATGTGCTTTTGGATAATCTTACTCCTCATCAAGGATAGTATCGCTTTGCTTCAAGGTCGGGCAAGCTGATCACTGGACTACCCTCGAACTGTCATAGTTGGAAGTCCAAGTTTATCTTTGTAGGAGGTGAGTGGGCTGCCAAGGAGGATGGTGACTTAGTGACTCTAAGGTGGCATACTGTTCTAAGGACCAATCTAGGTATGAGTTTTTCCCTTACTTTTGTCCCTGAATGTCATATCTCTCTCGTATTTACCACATGTTTGGTTCATTTGTAACTTCGCCCGTATTATCAAAGGAGCAAGAACGTAGGCTTCAGGCAATGAGGGATCATCCTACCAAGCAATTTGCAACCCTTATGTCTACGTCGAGTAACTTCAAAGCCTCTCCTAGACAGAAGAGGAAAGGTATTTGATCCTTTCAATAAATTTGATGACGTTTGTAAATTCTTCTTCTTATGCCAGTTCTACAGGTACTACTGTTGATAGAACGATAGTGGAGCCTGTTTATGCTTCTAAGGTGGCGTCTTCCCCTCCTCCCAAGAGGGTGAATCTTGATTCCCCTAGTGCTTCTCGGCCGAGGTTCGATGGCCATGCTCTTTCCTGAGAGGTGGGATCCAATGGTGCCCCCATTTCTTCTCAACACGCAGCCCCTTTGATCGTTAGGGTTAGTCCTTCTACTACTTTAGGGGCTAAGACTCCTGTGAGGTCCTCTACAGGGACTGGAGCTCCACATAGTTGTTCTGCTTCTAATAATGACTCGATTTTCATGTTGCATGATGTGAATCTAGCAAAGGAGCGACTTTAGAATTTTGTGACAACTGCGGATATTAGAGAGATCGGTTCTCAAGGTCCAAAGAACATTATAAATACCATGAAGGAAGGATTCACTATGGTTTACTTTTCTTCTATTTAGCCTTGGTTTCTGCACTTTTTTATTTTTTATGTTCTGCCNGGAAGGATTCACTATGGTTTTTTTTTCTTCTATTTAGCCTTGGTTTCTGTACTTTTTTATTTTTTATGTTTTGCATTTTAGATGCTTATAGGTGGCTGCTACCTTTCCCTACCTTTTTTCGAGGACGATCAAGCTTGGTGAGGCATCAAGGGCTCTGGCAGAAGAGAGATAGGCACAAGAGGCTGCTGAGGAGCAGTTGAGGTTGGCTTATGAGAAAGTTTCACCTTTTGTGGCCGAGCTTTCAACTTCCTACGAGAGGGTCGCCAAGCTAGAGGCTGATAAGGAGACTGTCTGCGCGAGAGTAGAGATAGAGCTGCGAGTGGCCAGCGAGAGGGTCGTAGTTGAGACAGAGCTACAGATAACTTGGGAGAAGGCTGACGTGATAGAAGCTAACCTGCTAGTAGCTCATGAAAGAGCCACCAGGACAGAGGCTCATTCCATTGAGATGAAGAGGAGGAGGGAGGTTGCTGAGAGGGCCGTTGCAGGCACTTTTATTGACGGTTATGAGAAGTTCAAGGGGGAAGGCCTCAACATCTTTACCTGATATTGGTTTCTTTGGCTTCATCCCATATAAGGCACCAGGGACATATGGTGACAGAGAGAGTTTTGATGAGAGTAGATTGGGGAGTAGTGAGCGATCGTTAGGAGTATGAAGACTTTTATCTTTACTTTTCTACTTTTCTGTTGTTAGGTCATATTCTGACTTTTGTAAGTTGTTTACAAACTTCTATATAATGAAAGAAAGATAGTTTTAGAAAAAATAATCCTTGTAAAGTTTTATTTCATAACTGAAATAATAGATAACAAAATAAATTAACTAAACTAACAAATGAAATATAAAATGAGAGTCACTAGCTTGTACCCTGTTATTGGTAATACCTCTCCAAGTGTTCGGCGTTCTATGGATAGGCCAAGGTTTTCCCTTAAGGGTTTTGAATTTTATAGGTGTCTGGTTTTATAACTTCTATCACGATGTAATGCCCTTCCTAATTAGGGCCAAGCTTACCTTCTTGAGAGTCATTGATGGATAGAATTACTTTCTTGAGGTATTGAGTACAGGGCGTCTAAGATTGGTGTAGTAGGTAGAAAGACAATCTAACACTATGAAGTTTACCATAATGGTAGAGCTTCTTGTTGTTGTTTCTGTTGTGACTGAAAGGGTGAAGGAACCTAAGGGATACACATTTCCCCCCGAAAATCTAATAAGGGGCGTCCTAATGGGTTGCAATTTCTCTCTGCAAAGATGGAGGCTATCATAAGCTGAGGAAAATAAAATATCGACGGAGCTGTCACTGTCTACTAGAATTCTCTTAACCTAGTAGTTGGTTACTGTTACCCCCTTAGCTTTTGGCTCAACATAGGCATAGGGCTGCCTTGCCCAAAGGAGCCCATGCCTTAGCCAAATTAGGTTTCACTTGAGGAAGTAAACCCTTAGTGCAAAAGATGCTTCCTAAAGGACTTGGGAGTTGTATTTTGTTGAGTTACAATGGTTTAGCAAAGACTCATGTGATATGTAGTGACTATGGCCCAGGCTTAGGTTATTATGACTCGACTTCTAGTGTTGTCACTACATTTTTGCTTTATAATGCTATTATAGGGGGGTGTTCCGTGAAGGGGTGCCAGGCTAGCTTCCCCAGGGACCCCTACACATGGAAACAAGGCACGACCTCAACAAATGCTTACCATGGGACGAGGTAATGCATTCTAAAGCCCGATACCTGAGATACGAGGTCGATGATCGGAGGGACCCGTCATTGATAGAAGCCCCATACATGACTGAGAGAGGAAATGCATGCATGGGCACGTGGGCATGAACAATGGGTGATATAGCTCGTGCATGGGCATGATTGAGCACAATCAGTGGATTAATTGAAAACCCATGCATGGCTGGGTGAGGTAGCTCATGCATGTGCACAAGCAAGCATGCAAACAAAGTTAGCTGGGTGGCTTGAATTATGGGGCAATGCTAGCTTAGAAGACCAAGCCATGGGCTGAGGTGTTGTGGGCTCGCAAGGAAGGCAGGTGCACGACATGTGAGGCAGTTCCAAGCAGTTGTGGCATATGCACTGAGATGGTGACGGTTCCAGACGGTTGCTGGCATGTGCATGGCAGGCAGGGGCGGATCTATGCAGAATGCTGGCATGTGCACAACATGAGAGTTATTGGCATGTGCACTTAGAGTGTACAACAGTTAAAGGCAGTTGCTGGATAGGTTAGCCAACAATTACAACTACCCCTTGCCATAACCAGTAGATATGGGAGTAGCAGAGGGACTTAACCATCATCAGCAGACTAGTGGTGACTTTGTGGGTGAATCTAGTGTACCTTTGCAGTTGCCTAGGCGGTTGGGCTTATAACTGCCAACTTGCATGCTATAAATAGACATGCTTGGGTCTGCAGTGCACCATAAGAGATTTGAACACGTTTTTGTAAGTAGACCCTTGGCCGAGTGTTCCTTTAGGCTTTGTTAAGAAAGAAAAAGGTTGAGCCATTGACCTATAAAGCTTGTGTGTGTTGTGTGTTTGCTTCCTGTGCCTACATTCTATTTATTGTGTGCAATTCTGTGAGAGTTTGTGTGCATAGGTTGAGACTGAGTGTAGATCTAAATGCAATCACGAGACAAAAATTCGAGTGAAAGATTGACCCCGTAACAATTGGTATCAGAGTTTTAGTTTCTGAACATAGCTAGTGGAAACACTGCTGAACTATGTGAATGTGTGACCCGTCTAAAGGATTTTCTGGGTGTCCATGATTGTGGTGCTGAAACTAGTGTGTCTGCGCATATGGTGGAATATGCTGCCCAGATCGCAGATTTGAGAATTGCATTTGACAGCTTTGTAAAAGACACCGACGCTAGGATGACAACAATGATGGAGGACATTCTGTTCCTCACTAATGCCGACAAGACGAACCTCAAGAATCTTGAAGATGAACTGACCCTAGTGAAAAGGGCCATGTATTCTCGACTTGGTGCGGCGAGACATCTTCAAAGATCAAGGTCCCTAAACCTAAGGCCTTTGGAGGGAGCCAGAGTGCCAAGGAGCTATAGAACTTTCTATGTGACATGAAATAGTATTTCAAGGCTGCTCATGTGCCTGTGGGACATAAAGTTACCATAATCAGCATGTACCTCTTTGGGGATGCCAGGCTTTGGTGGCGAACCCGAAGTAAGGACGACGATGTTGAGCGACGAGTCAGAATAGAGACTTGGGAGACATTAAAGAAGGAGTAAAAGGATCAATTTCTTCCTAGCAATATGATGCAAATTGCTAGGGAATCGTTCAAAAAACTCAAGCACACTGGAACTATTTGTGATTACGTGATCGAGTTCAGTTCTTTGATGTTGGACATCAAGAACATGTCCGAGGAGGATAGTTTCTTCAATTTCATATNCTTTTTTTTTTTTTGACAAAAGGAAATTTTATTTATTCACAAGATAGGAAATTACAAGAAGCAACAATAAGGCACAACTGCCTTTCATCATAACCAAAAAAAGTAAGGCATAGACGCCTTTCAAAA